AGTAATAATATAACTATTTTATACAAAAACAACACTTTTTTTCTTATTTCTCCGATCGGTGTTCAGTTTTTTTTTGTTTTTATTTTATTTTATTTTATTTTCAAAATTTTTATTTTTTTTTTTTAAAAACTGGTTTTTAATTTTTTTAGCTCTTTTTATTTTTCTTTCCAACAAAGCAAAAAACCAAAAAAAAAAATGACAGACATCAATAAAATTAATGAATTTAGAGTAAATAACTTTGGAGCAGGACCAGGATGTGTACCAACTGAGGTTTTATTGGAAGCACAAAAAGAATTATTGAATTTCCAAGGTTGTGGTAAAAGTATAATGGAAGTTTCACATAGAGGTAAAGAGTTTGAAGGTGTAATTAATGAAACTAAATCGAATCTAAAGAAATTATTGTCAATCAACGACGATTATGATGTATTATTTTTACAAGGTGGTGCATCATCATTGTTTGCAGGTATCCCAATGAATTTGTGCGAGAATGGTGTTGAGGATACTGTGGATTTCATCGTTACTGGATCATGGTCAAAGCAAGCCACCGCCGATGGTAAATACTTTTGTAAGGTTAATAAAGTGGTCGATATGGAGAAAGAGAAATTCTTAACAGTTACAGAACCATCTCAATGGAAGTTCTCTGAGGATGCAAAGTACGTTCATTATTGTGATAATGAAACCATTCATGGTATTGAAATGCCAATTACAACACCCGATCATTTACCATCGAATCTTATCAAAGTTTGTGATATGTCTTCAAACTTTTTATCGAAACCAATTGATGTATCTAAATTTGATTTAATTTTCGCTGGCGCTCAAAAAAATGCTGGTATCTCTGGTATTACAATTGTTATCATTAAAAAATCTTTATTGTTAAAAACAAAACCAAATGTACCTTCAGTTTTTAATTTCTTAGTATGTAAATTAAAATTTTAATTATTATTATTATTATTTTCTATTAAAATTTTTTTATTTTATCAAAATTTTTTTTTTTAAAAATAGAAAAAAAGTCAAAATAATTCATTAGATAATACACCACCAACATTTAATATTTACATTACAGGACTAATATTGAAATGGATTATTAATAAAGGTGGATTGGGTGAAATTGAAAAATTAAATATTGCAAAAGCACATGCACTCTATAACTACATCGATGGTTCAAACGGTTTCTACAGATGTTCAATCGATAAAATCTATAGATCAAGAATGAATGTTGTATTTAGAATTCAAGATGGTAATATTGAATTGGAAGAGAAATTCATTAAAGAAGCTGCAAAAGAGAATATCACTGATATTAAAGGTCATAGATCCGTTGGTGGTTTAAGAGTTTCTTTATATAATGCTATCACTATTGATCAAACTTTAATTTTAATTAACTTTATGACAAATTTTTATAATAATAATAAATAGATAAAAAAGTATAGAATAATTTTCTTTAATAAAATAAAATAGAATAAGAATTGTACTATCTTTTTTGTATTAATTTTTTTACATTGTTTTATTTTTTCATTTTTTTACAAAAGGGAAAGGTTACCAAGTAAATCTTCCAAATCGTCAATAGTTTTTGAAATTGTGTTATCTTGACCCTCGTCATCCATATTATCATCATCATTATCATTCATAATATCGCCATTATTATTTTTATTGCTAACATTATTATGAATCCTTTGTTGAGGATGCTCAAAATTATAAATGATTTTTTGCATTTTCTCTTTATCTTTTTCACTACCTGATACATTCACATAATCAATGATACTCTTTATGATTTGCCTTAATTCATTTTCTAATCTACTTGTTTGTTGTTGTTGTCTTTGTTGATTTGTTGTTTTAATATTTTCAATCATTCTTTTTAATCTTGAACTAGCTAATTGTAAAGCAGTATTATTGTTATTATCTCTTGTTAACATTGATTGTACAATACTAACATTATTATTACTATTATTATTATTATTATTATTATTGTTATTTAATATCATTGAAACAATCAAAGAAAAACCATTGATCGAGGCAATATGCAGTGGTGTATTATTATTTATATCTTTAAGTGTTGGATTGGCACCATTTTCTAAAAGGTATTTTACAACATCTTGTTTATTTTTACAAACTGCAAAATGTAATCCACTTCTTTGTTTGTCATCTACTTGATTTACATTAACCATCCCATTTTGTATTAAATAATCTAGTAATTGTAAATTTGAATCACTACATGCTTGAATATATTGAGTCCAAAAATTTTCCATTAAAAAATCAGTTTGTGGTGTTCACCAAAAAAAATGAATGAAAAAAAAAAAAAAAAAAAAAAAAAAAGAGTTTTATTATTTTTTTAAAATTTGGTGTGTTTTTATTAATTTAAAGAAATTGAGTTGTTTTTTTTTTTTTTTTTAAAATAATACTATTTATTTTTGAAAATTTGTGTATTAATAAAATTTAAAAAAAAAAAAAAAAGCGAAAAAAAAAAAAGCCCTTAATTTTTAATTTTATTAATAGTAGTTTTTATCTTTATTAGTTTTTTTTTAATTTTTTTAATAATTTTATTTATCATTTCCCAAAAATTTAAAAATTCAATCATCTTAATATTATTTTTTGGTTAATTTATTATTATAATCACAGGTTAATAAATGTAAGTTTTTATTAAATATTATAGGTTTTTTAAGAAAGAAAATGTTAATTAATAATTAGCTAAAATAATTATGGTTTATTTAATCATTTAGAATAATCAATATATCACGTTTTGATACTAAGTTATCTATATCTTTCAATATTATTAAAGTTTTCGGTATAACTGTGGAAAGCTGAAAAGGATATGCTCCAAAAGATAATTTATGTTTTTAAAAAATAAATATTGTCAAAAAAAAAAATAGTTTTTATCTCGAAAAAATAAAAAGTATCAAGTAATGATATTATGATAATTCCACACTAATTAATTTTTATTTTTTTTTGAAATTATTATAAAATTATTACTTTGGTTTTAGTTGGTTTAAATTCAACCATTTTATTTTTGTCTCTTCCCACCAATTGTTGAAATTTTGCAACAATCCAGAAATCACAAGGTAGGTGTCATCAATATATTCACCATATTCATCGTACACACCATGTACTTACACCAACAACTTCTTATCAGGGACCAATATATCTTTATTTGTGGAATTTAATTCACTATGCGACTTTGTTGATATATGTGAAGCAAATGATTGTTGATATTCATTTTCACCTTCGCTATATATTATAATTTAAATAATGATTAATAGGTATGTACACATACAACGATTGTTAATTAAATTTATATTAACACCACTTCCTTGAATTTTTTAGATGTAAAATCATTTGAACTAACTTTAAGACTATTCAAAGTATATCGATTCTGTTTTGGAAGAGAAAATAAATACAACAAATCAATGATCAGTCGGAAGAATTGTTGAATCCATTTTTCTACGTAAAAATCAATTCCACCAATCATATTGGTCTGAAACTATTCTCAGATAGATGGTTAGATACATATGGTCAAATTAAATAGTTAAGGAAGTGGTGTTGAATCAGGGAATCATAAATATATTTGTTGGTTACCGATTTTAAATGAAAACTTCATATTATAAAATATTTTCATTGTAAAAGAAGAAGTAGTAGTAGCAGTATGGTGGTTGTGGTGGTTGTTTTTATTCGGCTAAAGTTTTCTGTATATCAATGATCATTGTTAGTAATTTTTATTTAGCTGAATAGGTTATGGGCTTTCTGTAACAAATAGAGTAGTTGGCAGTTTTTCACCCACAGATATTACTCGCAAACTATGTGGTAAATTGGTAGTTGTGTGTGTACAATTGGTGTACACACATCAATAAATAATTATGGAACACACTTGTGTGTTGGAATTTTTTAATTAGTGTAAAAGAAAAAAATAAAAAAATTTTGTTAACATAATTATAATAATAATAAAAAAAAAGAAAAAACAACCAAAATATAAAAACCAGAATTAAAAAAGATAATAAATTAAAAAAAATATAAATAAAAAACATTATTATTACAATAAATATAAAAATTTTATTATTATTTCTTTCTAAGACCCTCTGTATTACATTTTAAATATAATAATATTATTAGTATAACTTTATATATCAAATATTATTCTATCCAGTTAAAATGAGTAATAATATGATTTATTTAACAATCTAGTAGCTTCTCTAGCTTAACGATATTTGTTATTAGTATTAGTTAAAAAAATTTCAGGTGGTGAAAGTTAATCTTTAGATGATTTAAATACAACTGTTGTTAAAATTGAAAATAAAAAGATATTACTCACTAGTTGGAGTAGTTGGGATTGATTACAATCAATCTAATCAAATGGTTATCCAATGTTAATTTTTCATTGGTCAGTAATGAAGAATAACAACATTTTAAAGAAATAGTGGTAAGAGAAAAAAGGTTAATTGGATTTAGTGTATTGGGTGAAATTGCAACCTTGATGGAAGGTGTAGGCTCATGTTTTGCTCCAGATTAGGTGAACTATATCATGACTAAGTGTTTTGATATTTAGGGTATCGAAAAATATAATATCATGTGATCCAGATTGATTGTTCATTTCGCATGTATGGTAGAATTATTGCAAGTTACAATAACAGATTAATTTTTGTTTAAACAAGGTAATCATCAAGGAAATGAAATGACTAAAAGATTGGCTAGTAATGTAGTTGTCTTTATATTAGGTTATAATCATGGGGTTAGATATTGAATATTCATGGGAAATGAATGGTTTATCAGATGGTGTTTTAATAAAGGAAATGGGGGTGATTTAATTGGTCATCAGCTATCAAATTATTTCCAAAAGAGTGCAATCATATAAACTAACCCCACATAATCACAGACTGACCACACTCATGAATACTCCCATATTGATATGGGTTGAAAAATACCCTGGGTTCTACTTCAACTCTTCCAACTTAGTCCGAAACCTTTTATTTTTATTGAGAATCGAACCCGCGACCTAAATTTGCTTAGTCGGAAAATGAGCAAGATGGGGTTTGAACCCATGACCTAACCCGTGTGAAGGGTTCGTGATAACCACTACACTACTCGCCCATAGGGTAAAATTAAAATAGTATTAGCAACATTTGGAAATTTTTTTATTTTTTAAACATCGTTCGTGTCACGTGGACCACGTATACATTAACCGATAACAAAGGAGAAACAATGGCGCAACCCTTGAAAATATATGGATCCGCCAATCCAAGTAGTACATACGATCTGGATCAGCAATGATTTTGATATTCAAGGTTGATGGCTAAAATATATAATTTTGGAAATTGAGGTTTTAGATAGACCTCCTTGATTGAATTTCATCACCTTCGTATGAGTCTTTATGACACATACTTGCCATAATGATAGTGTATCTTTTTGGGCGATCAACACTTGAACAAAATGGAAACTTTTAGTTTTCCTTAAAATATTGAACAATATCAATTGAATTTAATAGGTGAAATAATTTTTTTGTAGAAATTCCATTAAATAGAAACAATGTTGAAATTTCTTAACTAATTTTCTTTATGATCCAACTTTTTCTAAAATTGAAAAAATGAAATTCTTTAATATTATTTTAAGTTCAAAAATATCTGATTTATTCGTTTTATAAAATATTCAATTGATCAACTTTTATATAAATTCAAAAATCAACAATAAAAAATATAAAATAAAAAAAAAAAAAAAGCTATTATTATTAACAAAAAAAAAAAACACTTTTTCTTATTTTTAAATTTTATTTATAAAACTAATAACAATACTATCACTCTATTATTATTATTAATTAATAAATAACTTATCATTCGCTAAAAACAACACCTTTAGTGTAAAATTGTTAGGTGTAAGATTAAATTATTTTGCCAGTTTTTGTTGAATTATTGTTGTGTTTTCAACTACTTCTTCTTCATTATCTTCCTCGCCCTCTGTTTGGCGGGGTAAATGGCATTGTTGTGGTCGTTGTTGTTGATTATCAACAAAAGATTGAATTGATGATGAAATTTCAATATATTCTTGAGATTTTTCATTTACACCTTCATTCATTTCCTCATGATAATGAGTTTCAATGTGTTGTCCTCTATGACCACCGTCTAGTACTTCTAGTTGAACCACTAAATGCTCCTCGCAATCATCACGAATACCACAAGCTATCTCCATATTTTCCACTGCTTGCTGTCTTTTAAAATGAAGTTGATTATAGTGTTGATTATCATGGTGATGGTGATCAACGTGATGATGGAGATGATCATTATCATTACCATCATCATTTAACTCATGTGGCTGTTGAGCCTCAATATCTTGATTGCTGTCATGTGCAAATGCATCAACATTGATATGAATAGAAGTTTGTTCTTGGTCCTGTTGATGATCGTCGTGATGGTTGTGATGATTGTGATGATCATGACTATGATGATTTGGTATCGTTATTGGATGCTCTTGACCCTCTTCTGTAAGTGTTGGATTACCATCATCGACTATATGATGAATGTAGTGACGATTGTCTTCAACCACCACATGGTGGTGATGAATGTGGTGATCATCTTCGTAAATATGATGTTCATGAAGATGGCGACCCGTACGTTGTTGAGATTTTAGTATTGATGAAGTGTTTGAAGATATTACTTCTTGTTGTCTTTCTGGTTCTTGCTCTTGATGATATTGATATTGATGTTGTTTTTTGTGTCTTTTATTACACTTTGATTTTCCATTATTATTATCGCTATCGTTATTATTATTATTATTATTATTATTATTATTATTATTATTATTATTATTATTATTATTATTATTATTATTATTACTATTATTATTATTATTATTATTATTATTATTATTATTATTATTATTATTATTATTATTATTATTATTATTATTATTATTATTATTAATATTTTTATTACTATTATTATTAATACTATTACTATTATTACTATTATTATTATTATTATTATTATTATTATTATTATTATTATTATTATTATTATTATTATTATTATTATTATTATTATTATTATCATTATTATTATTATTATTATTATTATTATTATTATTAATATTATTATTATTATTATTATTATTATTATTATTATTATTATTATTATTATTATTATTATTATTATTATTATTATTATTATTATTATTATTATTATTATTATTATTATTATTATTATTATTATTATTATTATTATTATTATTATTATTATTATTATTATTATTATTATTATTATTATTATTATTATTATTATTATTATTATTATTATTATTATTATTATTATTATTATTATTATTATTATTATTTTTAATATTATTAATATTTTTATTATTACCATTATTATTATTATTATTACTATTATTATTATTAATATTATTAATATTTTTATTATTACTATTAATATTATCATTATCACTATTATTATTAATATTTTTACTATTACAATAATCTTTACTACTATGAATATCATTACTATTACTATTATTACTATTATTATTGTCATTGTCATTATTATTAATATTTTTACTACTATTGTTTCTACTACTATCATCATTACGATTATTACTTTCATTACTACTATTATTATTGTTGTTATTATTATTGTTATTAATAATAGTATAACCACTATTGTTTTTATTATTACTATTTACATTTTTACTATTTACATTTGACTCATTGATATGGGTATTATTTTTATTATCATCTTCATCGTCATCGTCGTTGGTATTATCGTAGCCATCAGCTAACACAAATTGTGATTTTAGACACCGATCTTTAATCTTTCTCTTTTTGGATATCTTTAAATTATTCCTTTTCAAAATTTGAGAAATATAAGAAAATGAAGCTTCTACTTTATGGTTTTTGTTCAGGTAATCTTGAATATCATCCAAAGTTAGCAATTCATCGCCTGTATTAATTCTATCAATGCTATTTATATTATACATAATTCTTTCCTCAACTAAAGAATTTAAAACTGTTGAGCATTCATTAGCAGTGGTCGTTATTGTGGTAGTCTCACCCTCAACGCTTTGATTGGTGATTTTCAATGTCTCTTTGCTATTATTATTATTGTTATAGTTATTGTTTTTGTTGATATTTTTGTATTGTGGTTGTAGTTGATTTGGATCCTCACTTTCTTCATAATCTTTCTCATAAATTTGTAAATGATATGAGTGTTGTTGATTTTCACTTTCTTCACCCTCTTCCTCCTCCTCTTCCCCTTCCCCTTCCCCTTCCCCTTCCCCTTCCCCCTCCCCTTCTCCATAATCATCGTCCTCTTCTTGTTGATTATTACCAATATTATCATTACTATTACTATTATTATTATTATTATTATTATTATTATTATTATTATTATTATTATTATTATTATTATTATTATTATTATATAATGATTGATTTTGATCGGATTGATTGTCAAAATCTGTTGAAATAATTTGGTGATTTGGATTATTTTTAAGAATCCATTGAATCATTTCTTGTTCTAATTTTGAATTGACTTTTTTCTTTCTACCTTGTTTTTTAGCTCTCTCTTTTATTGATACAATATCCATTGGTTTTTTAATCCATCTCCTTATTGTAGTTTCATTTACACCATATTTCCTGGCTATATGAGCAATTGGTAAACCCTCTTTAACCTCTTGTAATATTTGTTGAGACAATGCTGTTTTAGTCATTGTCATATATTATTGTATATAAATATGTATATATCTATCTATCTATCTATCTATCTATATATAATATATATTATATTTAAATTTTTATTTCTATCTCTACTTTATTCATTCAATCTTTTTATTTTTATTTATATAATAAATATTTTTTTTTTCGCCTTATCTTTGTTTTTAGTTTTTTAAATTAAAAATTAAAATCAAAAAAAAAAAAAAATAAAAAATAAAAAATAAAAAATTGTGTAAAATCCCAACTTTTCAAATATTTATATTCCTTATTTTTTGTATATTTTTAAATAATTGTCAATTTTTTTTTTTTATTTATTTTTTTTTTTTTTTTTTTTTTTTTTTTTTTTTGGTTTCTCTTTGATTTTTAAGAAAAAAAAAGAAAAAAAAAAAAAATCAAAGATGCATATTGTTGTGATGGCTGGAAAATAACCGCTAGAAAAAAAAATAAAAAAAAATAAAAAAAAAAAAAAAAAAAAAAAAAAAAAAAAAAAAAAGGGAAAGAGGAAAAAATTTAAGAAAACAAAGAAACAATCCTTCGTCATATGATATGTTTATTTATCAAATAAAAAACTATCCCTAATTGAGAAAAAAAAAATTTAAAAAAAAGGGGGGGAAAAACTCATCTTTAAACTAAATGAAAGAAAGAATTAAAGAAAACAACCAAACAGACTATAATCCAATTGGTTGGTTTTCTTTTCTTTTTTTTCTTTTTTTTTTTTTTCTCTTTCTTTTTTTTTTTTTTTTTTCGAATGGATATCATCAATATACACATAAATTTCATTGATATTTTTCATACCATAATAATTTTTTATTTTTTTTTTATTTTTTTTTATTTTTTTTTTATTTTTTTTTTTTAAAATTTTTTTTTCGAAAATTTTTTTTTTTTAATTTTTTTTTTTTTTTGATTTTCATATTCCAAAACACAACACATATATCATCACATAATGTCCAAAATTGTTAAATTTTTAAAAGAATTAGCCACTCCATCTCACTCTATGGAGTTCTTCCATAAACCACCAACTAACTCTTTAGTTGATGCTTCAGAACTCAATTTAGTCAGAAGAAACTTAAAAAGAGGTAATGAATTTGAAACTCAATAATCTTTTTTTTTTTTTTTAAAGACATCTTCACCTTCAAAATAGTTTTCTTCCCCTATCAATGGGTGATTATTTAATGAATGAATGTTCAGTCAACCAACCAACCAATCAATTAAACTAAAAAAAATAATAATAATAATAATAATAATAATAATAATAATAATAATAATAATAATAATAATAATAATAATAATAATAATAATAATAATAATAATAATAATAATAATAATAATAATAATAATAATAATAATAATAATAATAATAATAATAATAATAATAATAATAATAATAATAATA